TACAAGAAAATTTGAACACAGGGAACTTCCCAGAGACTCATACTCCAACCAAGGACTATCCATGGAGATAACCTAGAACCCTGACACAGCAGCCACTTCTGATGAGAACTGATAGACTAAGATCAGAAAGAAGGAGAGGAGGACCTCCCCTATCAGTGGACTTGGGGAGGGGCATGCATGCAGAAAGGGGGGGAGGGTGGTACTGGGAGGGGAAGAGGGAGGGGCTTATGGGGGGATACAAAATGAATAAAGTGTAATTAATAAAAGTTAAAAAATAAAAAGAAGTGGGAAATAGTAAGAGCTGGAGAGGACAGGAACTCCACAAGGAGAGCAACAGAACAAGAAAATTTGAACACAGGGAACTTCCCAGAGACTCATACTCCAACCAAGGACTATCCATGGAGATAACCTAGAACCCTGACAATGCAGCCACTTCTGAAGAGAACTGATAGACTAAGTTCAGAAAAAAGGCGAGGAGGACCTCCCCTATCAGTGGACTTAGGGAGGGGCATGCATGCAGAAAGGGGGGGAGGGCGGGACCAGGAGGGGCTTATGGGGGGATACAAAATGAATAAAGTGTAATTAATAAATTTTTTAAAAAAATTAAACAAAATAAAATAAAAAATTAAAAAAAATAAAAGAGACTTAATAAAAAATAAAAGAGACTTAAAGACCCAGAAAACTAGACTCATGCAGTAAAACAGCTAACACTGTATAAAAAAGACTTGCACAAGATCTAGCCAGCCCAAATCTCCGTATGGATGGTAAAGAAGCTACTGAAGTTCTATTTCTAGTTGGCAGGCTAATGTAGCTGATGACTGCTGGGAAAGTCTGATTTCTTCTGGGAAGATGACCCAGTATTCCAGTAGATGGTCACACACCATGCATACAGAAACAGCACTAAATGTATTCACTCTTTGGGTTCTAAGAAATTGGTCAAACATAATGTATGCATCTATGCTAGCTAATTTTATGTCATCTTAACACAGTTAGTGTCATTTGAGAAAAGGGAACTTCAAAAGAGAACTTTTCCCTGCATTCCCAATACCAAATTGGTCTGTGGTGTATCTTCTTGACTGATGATTGTTATGGGAGGGTGTTATGGGACAGCCCCCTATTGTGTGTGGTACCACTCTTGGGCTAGCAGTCCTGGATAATATTAGAAAGCAGGTTGAGCAAGCCATTAATGACTTGAAGAACAAGTCGTTAAATAGCATTCCTTCATGTCCACTGAATCAACTCCTATCTCTCCAAGTCCCTGCCTCAAGTTCTGGACTGTTACCTGGAAGTATAAGATGAAATAAACCCTTTCCTCCCCAAATTGCTTTTGGTGACAATGTTTTACCACAGTACTAGAAACCTTAACAATAAGTATAAATATTAACTCAAGTATTTAAAAGAAAGAAATTAGGTTGAAAACATAACTTATCTATGTTATGAGATACAATGAAAGAAGTCTTAAATGCCTACACTAATCCCTGAAAATATACACTCAAGTAACATTATACAAACAGAGCTGGTTATATTAAGGAATATGTATATATACATATACACATATGCACATAACAACACTTAATGCAAAAAGAGGCCATGAATTTGAAAAGGAACAAGGAAAGACACAAGGAAGAGTTGGAAGGAAGG